GAGCACCGGCAGCATTCCGTCCTCTAGCTCCCGCCCATCCGTTGGCTGTGTAGCAGAAACCCAGTATTATTCGAATTTGCTTTTCTCTAGTTACCCAGAGGTTGGGCGTCGCGTCCTGTTCTCGCTCGTCCCTCTCGTGTCCCCTGGGACACGCTGCTTATTCAGGTCTTCTGTACGTTTTTCCATTGCGGTGACTTTTCCCTCCTGATTTTCAAGAGTCCCATGAGTATTCTGGATCAGCACCGTACACAGGCCTTTCTGGGACTGTCCTCATCTACACGGTACGTTTGAGGGCCGCTGTACGGAATCACCGACAAACGAGGAGGCTGAAGACACGAGGAACGTGTTCTCACAGGCGGCCGGGTGGGGACCTGCTGGAGGCTCTGCTTCCTGCCCCTCGCCACCTGTGGGACCTGCTGGCAGCCTTGGGTCCTTGGCCTGCGGACACATCGCTCGTGTCCAAGGGGGCGGAGCCCACGGTCCTCTCGTCCGAGCATCTCCTCTGCCTCTGTCCAAACAGCCTCCTTCCTCTGATAAAGATACCGCTCACTGGATTAAAGCCGCCTCTAGTGAATTTTTTTTAAAATATATTTTATTGATTTTTTACAGAGAGGAAGGGAGAGGGATAGAGTTAGAAACATTGATGAGAGAGAAACATCAATCAGCTGCCTCCTGCACATCTCCTACTGGGGATGTGCCCGCAACCCAGGTACATGCCTTTGACCGGAATCAAACCTGGGACCTTTCAGTCCTCAGGCCGACGCTCTATCCACTGAGCCAAACCGGTTAGAGCCGCCGCTAGTGAATTTATGACCTCATCTTAATTTGATGACATCTTCCAAATAAGGTCACATTCACCAGTACCAGGGTCTGGATATTAACAGTCTTTTGGCGAACACAATGCAGTTGACCCACAGTAGACACTAGTCGTCATGGGCATTAAGGACTTGAAATGTGGCTGGCAAAAATATGTCTTTATTAATTTAATTTCAGAGAGGAAGGGAAGAGGGAGAGAAAGATAGAAACATCAATGATGACAGAGAATCATTGATCGGCTGCCTCCTGCACGCCCCCCCACTGGGGATTGAGCCAGCAACCGGGGCGTGTGCCCTTGACTGGAATCAAACCTGGGACCCTTCAGTCCACAGGCCGACGCTCTACCCACTGAGCTGAACCAGCGAGGGCGCATTGTAAATGTTGTTTAACTTAGGTAGCTACATGTGCTCAGTGGGGGCCGTGTCAAACACCGTTCTAGACAGGCACCTCTGGCTGCTTTAAACATTGTACACGTACTAACATTGCCGTGTCCTTTGTTGAAAAGAAATCCTTACTTTTGATAACCTCAGACCTGTGTGCTTTTTTCTTTTTTTTATTTTCTTATTGATTTCAGAGAGGAAGGGAGAGGGAGAGAGAGAAACATCGATGATGAGAGAATCATTGATTGGCTGCCTCCTGCAGGCCCCCTGCTGGGGACTGAGCAGGCAATGCAGGCATCAACCACCCCACCAGGAATCCAACCTCACAGCTCATAGGTGGACACTCAACCACTGACCACACCAGCGGGGCTAGTTCAGCCTTTAGTAAGCACAGGGGTGAAGGCTACTTGAGTGACTTCAACATCTGAGGGAAGACCAGACTTTTCCTCAAAATCAAGTTAATTATAAGGCACAGATGCATCTGACTTGGGGAGCAAGTCTGAATTTTGCTCCGATCGACAGGCTGTGGAAAGGCTGCTGTACGTGCTCAGTGGGGACCCCACCACCTTTCCTAGCATTTTGCTAAAAACCCCTTTCAGGGCGTTGCGATCCAGCAGGTCTCATCCGGAGCGGGGCCTGCCTTCACGGACCAGCAAACACCGCTGACATGAAGCGGAGAATCCGGGCTGGTCGGTTTGAATAAACACGTCAGACGCGTCAGCAGCTCTGTGAGGACACTCAGTCCCCTTAGGGAAGTCTATAGTCCAGGGGACATAGGCAGCTCGGGGCTTAGTAGGACCACCAGAGGGCTCAACTTTAAAGGGTCCAGTACTGATAGGTTCAGAGGAGGGAGTGAGAGGAGGTTCCAGCCGGGAGGGCACCGGGGGTGGAGCTAGAGCCGGAGGCAGGGAGGCACCAGGAACAAGGGACAGGCGGCTTCGGAAGCCGTCTTCTTTCTTCAGAAGCTGGTTGGCTTCAGTTAATTCTAAAACTATTTTGCGAAGAGGCAACTTCAGATTCCTGGTAATGTTTGGAAGCCTCAAAATGCCACTCACAATAGGGGTTCCATTTGGCAATCTCAGAGCTGCGGTTGTCCAATTAAGTTTTAAAAGAAGTGTGGATGCTCGGCCAGCATGGCTCTCAGGGATTAAGCATTGACCTATGAACCAGGAGGTCACGGTTCGATTCCCAGTCAGGGCACATGCCCGGGTTTGGGGCTCAATCCCCAGTGTGGGGTGTGCAGAACATAGCCAATCAACGACTCTCTTTTATCATTGATGTTTCATTCTTTCTTTTTTAATATTTTTTATTGATTTCAGAGAGGAAGGTAGAGGGAGAGAGAGAATCACTGATTGGCTGCCTCCTGCATGCCCCCCATTGTAGACTGAGCCTGCAACCTGGGCATGTGCCCGTGACTGGAATCGACCCCGGGACCCTTCAGTCCGCAGGCCAACACTCTATCCACTGAGCCAAACCAGCTAGGGCAGTGGTTGGCAAACTCATTAGTCAACAGAGCCAAATATCAACAGTACAACAATTGAAATTTCTCTTGGGAGCCAGATTTTTTAAACTTAAACTATATCGGTAGGTACATTGTTATTAACTTAATTAGGGTCCTCCTAAGGCTTAGGAAGAGCCACACTCAAGGGGCCAAAGAGCCGCATGTGGCTTGCAAGCCGCAGTTTGCCGACCACGGAGCTAGGGTCATCATCGATGGTTCTCTCTCTCTCCCTCCCTTCCTCTCTGAAATCAATAAAAATATATTTTTTTAAAAGGTTAAGTTTTGCCCTAACCGGTTTAGCTCAGTGGACAGAGTGTCGGCCTGCAGACTGAAAGGTCCCAGGTTCGATTCCGGTCAAGGGCATGTACCTTGGTTGCGGGCACATCCCCAGTAGGAGGTGTGCAGGAGGCAGCTGATCAATGTTTCTAACTCTCTATTCCTCTCCCTTCCTCTCTGTAAAAAATCAATAAAATATATTTTAAAAAAAAGTTAAGTTTTGGAATCTCAAATGTTTCCCATAACTACTGAGAACCTCAATTACTTTTCGTCACATTGTCCATTTAGTTACAAATGCGCATGAGGAGGGACGGTGGTTTTTAAACATAAATTCAGCCGGGGTCCGTGCAGGAGGCAGACCTTGAAAATATTCAGATAACTAAGACCGTAGACGTTTCTCTGGAACGAGGGCCCAGACAGGCTACATCGGCTCCAGCAACCTGCGGGCTCAGTACCGGTCGGCCCCGCTGAGCACAGCCTGGTCACGGAGGGGAAGCCGAGGGCCCAACAGCCAGCTCCGGAGGGAGGGCCTGCGGTCAGCGCACGCAGACCCGGGGGAGGCCCTGCCACTGAGCACCCGCCTCCGAGAGCAGAGGTCCGGGGGAGACCCGAGGAGGAGGCTGCCCCGCAGTCCGACACTGGTGGGTTTTATTAAGGGAAACCACGCGCACGGACCGCGTGCCCTGAGTGGCAGCGAGATGAGTGGGTCCTGGCACCACCGGGTACCTACTGGGCCCAACACCGGGCAGCGCGGAGGAGTCACGGTGCTGGTTCGGGACCATTCCCGGGTGCAGGTCACAGCCCAGGACCCGGCACCTGGCAGGAGGCAGGGATGGTCCTGGCCGGTTTCAGAGCAAACATTACCGTCGTCCGCCCCGCCTGGCCAGTGGCTGAGCGACAGGGTCACTGGGACCGTCTGCATCCAGACGGAAGCGGACTGACAACCACCAGCACGAAGAACCCGCCCAAGACACAGCCCGACCCCCGGGGGTCAGGCCAACGTGTCAATTGAGAGCCCGACAAACACGGCCTTCTAACAGGAAAAAAGAAAAGAGACAAAACCCCGAAAACTCCCCAGGTCCCGGATAAGGGCTGCAGAGCTTCAGGACACACGGCGGGAGGTCGGGTCCGGGAGGACTTACCCTTTAGCTCCGAGCCGAGGAGGAGCACGGAGCTCAGCTGGCCCCGTGGACGCCGCGCCTGCCCGCTCACCCGACCTGGAGCGACGGGGACAAGGGGTCTTCTCTGGGTCCCGGAGGAGCCCCAAATATGCCGGAAGTAAGTAAACAGTCGGCCAGGTGTTCATTCAGCAAAAAGGATTTATTTAGGGGTTAAAAAAAAAAAAAAACCAAGCCTGTAGGAGCAGCCATGGCCAGCCCGGTAGAGGTTTCCGCCCGGAGGAAAATCGAGGAAGGACATCCGAGAGCGGAAGAGGAAGTTAAGAGCAGGGCCAGCCACCAAGCACGTGGAGCTGCGTCCCGACCCCGGAGTCGTCCCTGCGGGATCTCCCGGTGACGCGGGAGCGAGGGAAAACCAGGGGCGCCAGGGGATTCTGGGGCGCGTAGAGCCCCCGGGACAGGCGCCGGGTCGCGCCCAGCCACCTCCCACGCCTGTCTGGGCCGGCGTGGCGTCACTGTCGGCGACAACGGCGGGACGTTCGCGACGCCTCGCGTCACTCTCGGCGACGGCGGCGCGGCGTTGTGACGTCAACACGCCGACGCGGTCGGTGGGCAGCTCCTGTAAGGAACGCGGGCCTCGGCTGCGCCCCTTCGGAGCAGAGGCGAGATCGCCCGCCCGGCGCCCGTTGGTGGGCCTCCCTCCGCCCGCTGCCCGGCTCCAGACCGCGCGGGGAGGCCTGCGGGACGCCGGGTACTCTCCCGCGCCGCGCGTCCCGACGCGGTACGTCGTCGGCGCCGCCGCTTGGCGTCATGACTTCCGGGAGCCGCGGCCGCCATCTTGGTCGCGC